TTCACATTGACTGTTTGTGCTGTGGCACCAGGCTTTGCTTTTCCGGAATGACCCACTGTTGGATTTTAGATCTGTTGACGGGTGTTAGGGGAAAAGGAGTCGGTCTGCTTGGATCTGAATGACAAATTTCTGAAAGCTCAAGAAAACACTCTTATTAGTTGACCACTGCTTCCTGGCTGGCTCCAGTATTAAAACAAAGAGGGAGAGAAGGAGGAGTGTTTCCTTGGCTGCTGAAAGCTGCCCAAGACCCTGGACTTTAACCACATCTCTGCCAGGGAACGAGTATATTATGCTGAGTAATCACTGAGATAGCAGTTTTCATAAACAGGCACTGATCTTTGCCCTCCATGTCCTGGGTGCCAAACTTGTGACCCTGAGCGAAGTTCTGCAGGAGCAGCCTGCAAGTCCAGCCAGCAAACCCAACGCCTAGTGATGACCATGATGGAAAAGTCCGGAAAACCCCACAACTCTGCCATGCAGGCATGGTGTCAACAAGGTGGAAAAATAGGTCTTGAAGCCAAATACTGTAATTAAAACAAGATTACTAAATGAACATCATCTATCTTGTGCATTGAATGAAGTGTGTGTGGGGGGGGTCCTGTAGGAAAAATAGCATGAAAGCATAATTAAAGATGATCTTATAATAGATGTGGACAAAAAGGCTTAATTAAGACATGTGAGCAACTTTAACTCTTACATTACCTTACTTCTGCGTGCTTCACTTTGCAAGATTAGTAAGTTTTTTTTTAAACCTTGCTGTTTGTATGGCAGATTCTCCAGTCAGAGAATGGTAATGTCTACATATAACTTCTGTAACTTCACTCAGTATTTCTCCTAATTAACTGTGCACAAAGCTGTGCACACAGCACAATGGGGATGGCACTAGCTAAAATTACTATGTACGAGTTTGGGTTTTTTTTTTTTTCTCCCCTTGATGTTACCAGTGACAACAGAGGCAGAAAAGTCATTAAGTACCTCAGCCTTTCCCACATCCTTGGTCACTCAGTCCCCTGCCTCAATGACCCGTGGGCCTACACTGTCCTTAGCCTTTCTTTTGCGAGCGGTGTACTTGGAGAAGCCTGCCTTGTTGGCCTTCACAGAATCACAGAATGGTTGAGGTTGGAAGGGACCTCTGGAGATCATCTAGTTCAACCTCCCTGCTCAAGCAGGGTCCTCTAGAGCATATTTCCCAGGGTCACATCCAGACGGGTTTTGAATATCTCCAGCGAAGGAGACTCCACTACCTCTCTGGGCAACCTGTTCCAATGCTCTGTCACCCTCACAGGAAAGAAGTTTTTCCTCAGGTTCAGATGGAACTTCCTGTGGTTCAGTTTCTGCCCGTTGCCTCTTGTCCTGTTGCTGGGCACCACGGAGAAGAGGCTGG